GTCGAATTTATTAACTACGACGTGTATTTTATTTACTGATACGTTTATGCCTGCATTATTTGCAAATATCAATCTTGTATACTCGGGTCCACGGAGGGATATTTTGCGAAGATCAGCTCCATCACGTTTGCATACTGAAACTTTCGACGTTTATTCGTATTAAATATATGAAATATAGGTCATATCTGTGATGCCTGTGATGCGTAGGCTGAAGTCATTAATTCCATTAAAGCCATAAAATACGTTAAAGAATACAAACGGATGATGGATTACCCATCTTCAATAAAATGTTCTTATTCTTTATTCTTTTAAGAAACATTGCCACCACACTAGAATTTTCTTCTGTATCGTGGGGGAGAGTTTACATTTTTTTTATAGAATAAGGGGACAAACGAGCACGCAGTCCACCTGATGGTAAGTGGTTGCTGTGGCCCATAGAGATCTACATCTATCTTCGTTTGGGAATCAAAATGCAGATGCGTTGTCACCCGTGACGACTAAGATGGATTGCCTTTTATCCAGTTACATGGGTCTCCGGTTCTCTACACTCACCATACGAAACCCAGCAACATTGAGCTGCTATTTTACGCTGGTATTCTGTGAGAGCGTGGTCCTTCCCCGGTCAAGCCGACCCATTCGTGCTACAACTATACTATTAATATAGCTGCAGTATGGCTCTACTACGTAAAATTGTAAAATTTATGTATTTACATACATAAATTTCACAAGGACAAACATCCAAATCCTTTCGTTGTATGGCCTAGAAAATTTTTTACTTATTCTGTGCGGGATTCTAACCCGCGGCCCTTGTCGCTGCAACTTATTGCTAAGCCACTGCGCCACAGAGCCGCCAATAAAATACACTTAATATATTCAATCTATTAACATAAGACATAATATCATTTGTTGTATGTATGTTCGAGGGAACGGGACATATTTCATTTCTGGGAAGGTAATCAAGCAGGAAAAGCTTGTACCACCACAGTCCTACTGATACTGAGCAAATTGTCAAAATTCACATATCTTTCAAACATTTTCATTTTGAGACGAATAAAATTTTATATTTAGCTTGTATTTACCAAACCTAAGCAGAGCATCGTTGAAAAGAAGAAAATATATTATTCCATGATTCATTCCCTTTTGCAAAAATGGATCTAGACTGCAGCTAAAATGGAAGCGCTTTTACTTTAATTACATAATTAATTAAAGCTGCAGAGTATTTCGACTGACGGGAAGGGACAAAACAGGATATTTCACATTTTACTACGTAGTTTTACGTAGGTGCAGAGCATGTGGCCTAGATGTAGTTAGGCAGAGAAATATAGCTCTAGATATTAGATAAAGTTCAAAATAGCGTAAACACAACCTCATCATTACTGGATGTAGCCTTGGCACTAAAAGTCCGGAGAAATATTTGGATGTATTTTAAGGGACGCAGATACACAGATATACTAGAACTGAACAGCAAAGGTTTGCGTGTCTGCACAAAATTGTATACAGTAGGGAATCAAACCCAAGACCTCGCAGTAGACAGGTATTCTGCCCAGCAAGCCGAGCAGTCATGCTGATTCATCATAGAAACTGACGCTTTATTTTACTTGTGTTCGGTACCTTACATAGCTGTTATCGAGTAATTTTGCCTGAAAGGTCAAATGAAATAAATATAAAGCAGAATGGAAAGGCAATCCACTCGTATATAAGTATACTACCAGTAGTTCGCGAATTCAACTCCGACACGTGCACTAACAGTTTGTTTCGTTTCAAATTGATGTTTGAATACGTGCACCGAATCTTTTGAAAGTTTAGCGATGTCAACTTTTTGAGTTTTGTTTAGCTATTCGTTAGATTGGTTTATGTATATTAGATGATAGTGCATATCGAATGATAATTTCTAACACACACACACATATATAAATGAATATGTGTACCTCAAATTAAAGATGTCAATATTTACTTGTCGCAATAAATATTAAGGTCTAGATTAGATAGACCTTGATATATATAATACACCTAATACAAGTAAGTAGAATCCTTACCCGATTTTTTTTTATTTGGATATAGAAATAGGTAACTATTGCTTCGTCTTTCATAAAGGGCCGGGTAACAGGTTGAAATCATTTGCCGATGTCTTTCTGTCCGATTACAATATGGTTGTATTCAAGACAAGAATATTAAAATTTATTTTAATGAGATTATGGTTTAAGCTAATTTTTAAACAAATAAGGGTGACAAACGAGCTCAGTATCAGTTCATTTGATTATAAGTGAATGCTGTGACCCATATACACCTTGAATAAAAATCAAAATGTAAATTCATGTATCACCCCTGAGATCTTGGATGAGCCAGAAAATTTGCGAGTAAAAGCATTTTAGCTTATTAGGTGTAGTAATCGGGAATATTAGTAGTGTTAAGAACACTCTTCATTAGAAATTTCTGAGCTTGCCTTAAACATAAAAGCAACTTTTTCAACAGTGTAGCAGGGATCCGTATCTAAACACGCCCGTAGCACTCACCATATCGTAGGCGTAACTTGTTGCTCCAGTACTTGCAAATACCAACGGCTCAATATTTCACATTTATTGACATTCTGGTATTGCAGCGCTGCGTTGCTTTGTGAAAACGACATAGTTCGTCCGCCTTCACAAATGTCACCTGTATTCACAAGGATAAAAGGGAGCTTGTATCCCACATTTTGCATTTATTAACAAGAAGTGAATAGCACGCTCTTAATCACTATCTAATGTAAAATTTAATGGGTCGCAGCACATGGTTACGTACATCAAAAGGATACTTCCAATCTAAACCTGCTATATTGACTTAAATTTGTAAGCATCCAGGCCGACGACGCTCCTGTGATTCCAGTGGTGTCGTGAACATCCACGGGCGGTGGTGATCACTAACCATATTAAGTGAGGTACGGTGACCGCTTAGACCCACGAGCTTTAATTTAGTTGTAATTAAAATCTCGGCCCGTCTGTATTATCATCATCATCGCCCCATAAAATCCACTGCTGGACACGGGACGTCCGCATGGCCAGACGTAAGCACCTTTGATACTGCCGCCCTCGCCGGTCTGCGTATCTTACGCCTGACTATGGTGATATGGTTAGAAAGCCATCTATGCGATATTTCTGGCATTTTCTATAGTCGCCTACGACACCCACTGGACGTAACGTGGTGATGGATTTTTTTACGCGATAACCATAGCGTCTTATATTAAGTATCTCTATTTGTAACTTAACCACATTATTATTCTTAAAGTAGTCCGTATCCTTTACTGCTAGCTATATGAGGAAGCTCAAGATAAGGTTATTTCTAATAAATTCATCTCAGAGTACATGATTTAGAGCCGGGCGGGATCAGAGGCAGCTGAACTAAAAATTGGCTGAAATATGAGTCTCTGAGCGATGACTTTGATTTGCTGTAGATATTATCGGTCCGTGGGGTTCATGTGCAGAGAAATTCCTTAAGGAACTGTATTCGCAACCGGTCGTTACTGCTGATGATAAGAGTGCTGGCTCTTTTATCGCTCTAAAGCTAAGTATAGCCATTCAAATGAGGAAGCGCACTATACCGCGGGGAGTTAAGCTGTATGTTTTTGGTTTTAAATTTTTTTTATGAATTATATTTTATATTTTTGAATGTTAAGTAAATAAATGATATTACAAAGGCTTAATTAGGATATCTTACGGTGATGGAGCAAACTAAGTACTCCACGCGTCCTAGTTGGAATGGACTTCACACCTATATTGTATACGCCCGCCAGAAGCGATAATCACATTCAAGTTCTAAAACTTTACATTAAAGTTAGTTACATTGAAATTTCAAATGAACTCCTAGACTATGATCTTGTCAGTACTCTTTTTTCGCCAAATTGTTGTACAAATGTGACTAATTCTGACACGTTCTATTAATTAATTTATTTACTTGAACTATACAAAATGTACTACAAGAAAAAAAGGAATCTCTGTGAAATATTTCCTAATTAAATGAACAAAATCTTGTCTTTAACTCTTTGCGCTAAGTTATTTGTAATTCGATTTCAATATTGTCATTGATAATGACATAATGAAATTTTTCTTGTGTATGATATTGAAAATTAATAAAACAATTTTAAGCCTTTAAATTTTTTATAGCCACATAATATAAGAAAAGCGTTTATGTATATATTAGTAAAATTTTATACACCAGAGAATGTTGGAGATAACACCTTATAAAGTTTGACAAATCTTCTTTGGTAGAGTAAAAAAAACTAGAGAGTAAATAATATGATTGTAGCACAAATGGGTCGCCGCGACCGGGTAAGGACCACGCTTCCACAGAATAACAGCGTAAACGAGCAGCTTAATGCTGCTATTAAATTTCGTATGGTGAGTGTAGAGAACTTGAACTTTTCACTGGAAACGAGGCATTCCATCTTCGTTCTCAAGGGCAACAATGGATCTGCATTTTAATTTTAAATAGGCGTCTATAAGACACAGTATTCACTTACCATCAGGTTGATTGTGTGCTCATTTTTCAGCCTTATCCTATTAAAACAAAGCAAATTTATATAGTCAAAATCTCTTTCAGGTTCATAAATATAAAATTGTTTTGCTGAATTCGGGGCGGCTCATACGTAGAAACAATTAACATCGCTAATGAGGAGTGTAATAGATAGAGAGAGGGAGAGAGAAGGTGGTTAAATTTTGTACGTTTAGCTATTTTGTACATATTACTGATTGTTTAGGGTCTATTATTTTGTGGTTAAAATTTTTTCTAAAGCTTTGTATTGTTACCCTTTTGTGCTTTTAGTTTTTTAAGTAACGTAAGGGTTTGTTCGATAAATTATAACGCCTTCACAATACAGGAGAATATTCAATATTGATTAAAAATTTTTTTTTAAAAAAAGTGTGATAATCAGCAAGGCGACAAATATTATATTATTTAAGTAAGGTGACGGTAGGCAAAAATATGGTAGTAAAATCATCAAATCAAATAATTTTATCCATTTATTACAATCAAACAGTAATTTCTCCGTTCAGCAGAGAGTTGGCAACAGTGCCAGGTAAACTGAGGAGCGTTGAGAAAATGTTAGATCTGCTGTCATCTGTAGAGCCACGAGGACACGGCGCTGGAGAATTGTCTGTAAAACAAACACACTTGTATTATTGAATAAAAACTATTTTTACGGATTTTATCGCGTTTAATTAACTTATTTTATATTCCCGACGTTTCGGTTGCTTTCCAGCAACCGTGGTCACGGGGAACTGAGGTGATTGACGTCCCAATGTCAGTGTTAAACCGGAGTACCTTCAGCTTTTTTAATTAATAATTTTGGTCCGATCTACGCAGAATGAACTAACTGTGTCTTGAAGTCTTGCAGTGGTATGCTTGGCTTTAGTTTTAATTTTATGAATTACAGGATCCCAAGCAGGTGGTAGCACCCAGCCTCCCTCTCTATTGAAATTAGGATGTTTTTTTAATTTCAATAGCCTCACGTATCATCCTCCTATGTGTTTCTTATGTTTTAAAAATATAACGTTAGAAATTCAAACATGTGATGTGGAGTTCACTTCGAGTTTACTTTCCATCAGGTAAACTCATAATTAGAATGCACTTACAATTAACATGATTGTTCTTGTTGTTTAATTCAGCAATCATATTTAGTGGTTGAGAATATGCTGCTGGCACCATTTGCTGGAGTAATGGATTATCGTTCTGTTGACTGGAATAGTTGTTGATGAGGTAACAAACATGACCGGAAGGAGTGTAGAATCCATTCATGGGCATTGAAGTGGCGAAAGCAAATTCTGTAATAAATTATATTACATAATACATTTATGTCCCATTAATTAGAAACAAATTAATTAAATAAAAATAAACTCTAAAAACGACAAAATATCTTAAGCAAAATAAATATAAGCACTTAATGACATCCATTGAGGGAGGCTTTTTTCAGCAGTGGACTAGTAATGGACTGTAATGATGATGCACCCAAATATGGCGTGGTGTTAACGACATAATTTTGCGTCTTGATTTAGTGATCTACTACTATCTTCATATTCTTGAATCTTTACCAAAATACATACATATTCACTCACGCCTGTTACCAAGATGGGTACGCAGATACAATTTGTCACTATAATGACATTTCTCTCTTGCCTCATTCACGTCCATATGTCTCTATAGGATATGCCTCCATGTACATTAGTAAGTAATATATTATTTTATTTCAATTAAAATGTACTTATTAATATAAATCGTATAGATTTAGTACCTTGGTTTTATTTAAGTGAGCGAATTTATATTTATTTATTTGCATTTTAGTATGTATGTTACATGAGATACTGTTAAATCATATGTATTCACACTAAGTACCTAATGGAGACATGCAAATTTATTTATTCTAAGAATTTATAGTCATACAAAATTAACACATCAGAATCAATCATAATTAAATCATTACATTTTTGCTAATGTAATGATTTAATTATGATTAATTCTACAAACAATCCATCCAATCATATTCTAAAGATTTCTAAAGATTATAAAAAATATATATATTGTAATTAAGAAACAAAGAATACTCGTATAAGCTTCGTTATATGTTGATCAAAGGGGTTAAATATTATTATATTCTTAAATTTTATACTATTTAATTTTTATTCTGAAATAAATACTAACTGCTTGTCAACCTGTATATAATTACAATGGAAAAGTAAGCCAAGAAATATTTCAGAAATATGCACTCACCGAAAACCAACAGACAAATAATTGAAGAAACATTGGATTTCATATTGAACTGAAAAGCAGAGATGTAAAAACCAGTACTAATCTAAGATCGAACTTCACTACCTATTTATTCGAGCTTACATTTGTAAGATTTAGTATGATTGATTTCTCACATGTGCAATAATATTCTTTATGAATCAACGAAAAAGGTTCTCCTTTGCATAACCGTTAATTTAGTTTGTTTAAACGATCAAAGGTAAACTGAAACGCTTCATTGACAGTCAAATGGCAACAACAGAGTTACGAGTATTAAAGATACGTTATCTTTCTTTACGAATTCATATTCACGAATACTTAAAAATAAATATTAGGTACCATGAAAAGGCGCTAAAGCTAAATTACAAAGAACTTATTTTCGTGAGTAATTTTTATAACTAAGCTATTGTAAGTATAGTTTAAGGTAGGGAAGGAGAACCAATTGTTGCAAATTTTACAGTACGCAACAACCCGGGTTTGACTCCCACCAACACGAATAATATAAGTAACAATTTAACTGCCGATTTACCACGTACTCGGTGCTGAAGAAAAACATTGTGAGAAAACCTGCACGTCTAAAGAAAAATAAATATTATGAGGCCATGTGAAGCCCGCCAACGTGCACTTTAGCAGTGAAATGAGAGAAGGCCTGTGCCTAGCACTTGGACATACATAGTATGACATGCAACTTTACTATTAATATATAATTATATATATATATATATATATATATATAATTTACTAATAATGAAAATATTAAGGATCATTTTTTGAAACGTGACTATTTCACGCTTATATATATATATAATCCGTTAGATGACCGCCTCACAAAATGTTCAGGGTTCGCAACGTAGTCACCATTTAGATAGTACGTTGCGGATCCTGGTTCAAATCCCGATCACACACAACATTTACTCATAACTTACATTTTCCAATGACCTCTTGTCTCTAACACTGTCAAACGATCACATGACCTATGGCGATTCTTGACGTTCTAATTGCAACCTAAATTAAATGTGCTGTGAATATGCTTTTGACATTGATCTCACTTGTAAGAGCAACACTGCAGGTATATACTTTGCCAATATCCCCTCAATAAAATAAAATTATGTGTTTTATCTAGCTTGAAGAGCACCCCCCACCCTCCCTCAATTGCGTGCACTATCACCGTCAACACTAATGCCAGCACCACTACTTCAATATAAATAATATTTATATTGAATATAAATATAAATAATATAAATTTTTTATATTTATATTCAAAAATTTTTATATTCAAATTATTTATGTATATTCAAAATATTTATATTCAAAATTCAATATAAATATAAATATAATATAAATAATATTTATATTGAAGTCAGTTGTACAACACTTTTATTTTTCCACTTGTACCGAGTACCGGCATAAGCGGCGTAATGATATTGTTTCATATAGTTAGTTACGGGAACTGGAGGCTCAGCTTACTAGTAATGAGACATTCCAACTTAGTCCTCAGTAGCTGATTCTTAGTCAAAATCAGATATATATCAACCAACTTATCCAGCAGAGCTTGTTTTATTACACACATGTACGCATACACATACACACTGTGACACATTTCCTCTTTGTCTTCAGGTGTCACGATTCAACTAAAATATGCTCTTATATGCTCCTTTGTTTAAAGTTGTTGCGAATAATTATAAGACGGTTATTTGTTTTCCTCATAAATGTTATAAAAAGCAATATATCCCTTCAAAGTTATTAAAGTGCGTTCGGGAATTAAAACTATGATAGCGATTTTATTCGTTGTATACATGAGGTGATGTAGGATCGACAGCAACGGATTGAGCTCGCAATGGTCCATACCAACATTTTAAAAAAACTGTCAGTAGTAAGACTGCACGTCAGAAGTGAAAACTTGATAGCTGCACAAACTTGTAAACATTAGTTTTGGGTTGTCAACGGATTTTTTTCAATTTTATGTACCTGAGCGTGATGATCACGCGAGCTTAGTGCTTTTTCCAATCTCCAGAAAAATTTCCAGAAAGTTGCCAATCTTGAGGACTATGAAGGAATGCATCGCTTTCAGTAAAAAAAATATCTCCTTTTCTTCATTAACCATATAGTGAAATTATAGATTTTTTTAATAAAGCCAGCGTTCAGAGAGATTTCCCCCTATAAATTACTTTTGTTTTGTATATGTATGTGTCAGATTTAACATATGTTCACGCCCTTAGTTGCCCCGACTAAAGTCGACTGTATTAGGGCCCATGAGTAACACCTTCGACGAGCAACAGAGGGCGGAGCCCAATGGCCTATGGATAATTCTAAATTAATTGCAAATAAGCAAGCACTACTTACCTAGTTGCAGAGGTAGGGTTGACCACAAGGTACCAGTCAGGTGATAAGTGAGGTGTATGTAAGTAATGTGTAGTAGAGTTTATATGTAACCTGACTTAACCCATTTAATCGGCAGCAGCCCTGATACCCGGCACTGTCCCACGATGTGGTATCAATCCAGCGCGCGTCTCCTCAATGTCACTTAGCACAAATCTATAATCTAATACGAACTAGGTATTCTAGCGGTTCACAAATTTTTAGCGTTTTTAACCGACAAAGAAAAAATATCCCCGTACTATATCAGAATATCACACAAGCAAAAAAAATTTTGCTAAATGCACTTTGCATCATGCAATCACTATACAAATTAGATGCTTTTTGCACGCGACCTCGCAGTTAGACGGACCGAGCAGACTTACTGGAGACACGCGGCGCCGAGGCAATTGAATCCCGTTAATCTACACGTCATACCGGTTAGAAATGCATCGCGGCGAGCGCCCCGTAGTGTCTTTTTTAAAATTTAGCATCTGGCGAAAACAACATATTTCTCTAGTGTTAGGTAGATTAACCAAATGAAAAGTACGGCAGCGCTATGTTTCTATTGTATTTAGTGAGAACTTTGTTCTTCCTCGGTCGAGTCGGTCCATTCGTACTGCAGTCATTACACAGCTGCAGTGTGACTTTACCATTTTTAAAATTGTTATCGTTAAACGTTGAAATTTTACTAGTTTTTGTTTTTAATATAAATAAAACTTAAATTAATAGCCGCAACAGGCACTGCCCTCCTCTTAAATCGAAAAGAGTTATCAAGAATTCTAACCTATAAGGCAGAAAAATGTTCTCCCAGTTGCTCCAGAGCGAAGTGGCGGCCGTCACACTTTTTATATTCTCACAATGTATGTCACAATGTATGTGTATGGTCGATAATATGCAATTCGGAATTATAAAAATAATAGTTGTTGATGTATATTTTTAATTTAAGAATTTTTGTCAAATTTTACTAAAAATCTTTTTTTTAATATTCTATACAACATATGAATATGATACTTTCCCACTGCCAGAAGGAATTCTTTTAACCGACCTGTTAGTTCGATATGGTCATTCTTGTCGCTGGTGTGTGTAGCGTTGTATGTTATTATAGTGAAAAATCAATTAAAAATATATAATATTGTTAATAACAATAAAAATATACTTAATAATCTATAATTGTTTACTTATTTGGTTCCATTTAATACTCATAGTTTATCTATAGTACAGTACGACCCTAACTAAAATAATCAAATTGAGTTTACCAAGCCTAACACATTCACATAACACTAATCGCATCTGGATGTGTTACATCGGGTATATACGAGTATGAGACGATTACACCGCCAATATATAATATATTGCAAAATATGAAACAATAACATCTGTCATTTCGCATTCTAGTCTCTAACAATGCAGGATGCTTCGGGGTATTCGATCGTCATCACACGATCATGCATTAATGTTGAAGCTTTGTTTTTACTGACCTAACTGAATGGAGTAATATTTCCAGAGGCTTTTAGAAACTTCATAGGCCTGTCTATATAAATTAATGAGTGAGATGTGGCTTCGTGATTGTGAATATTTTTTAAATGTCAGAAAAAAAAAACATAGAACAGTTTGTAAATCAATGGTTGGGCAAATAGTTTAACAAAACTCCGTGATTTTTTGAC